CTACACTGGAAATTCAAGGAGTCCTAACCACTGGACCACCAGTAAAATCCCATCACTTAACTCTTAAATAGCTATCTTAAGAACATTTTAGATTTTCAAAAGTGAGTTCAAAAGTGAGTTAAGTATTTTCAAAACTATGAGTCTGATAGGTGGGGGAAAGATGCTCTTAAAGTCTTGATTATAAGTTGTCTATTTTTGGAAATTAAAGAAATGTAAAATAAAATAAATACAAGGAGCCACTCATTCATCAGAAATATCAGAAATAAAAATGATACTATCCATGAATTCCCTGGTTGTCCAGTGGTTAAGACTCAGCACTTTCACTATGAGGGCCCGGGTTCAGCCCCTGGTTGGGGAACTAAGATCCCACAAGCCATGTAGTATGGCCAGAAAAAAAAAAAAAAAAGAAATAAAGTCCAACATTGGCAGGGTTATGAAGAGATAGGCATGTCCATATATTGCTAGTGACACTTCAGGTTAGTTCAATCATTTGTGAAGTAAAACCATTTAAAAAACCTGATCACCTAACTCTACTCCAAGGATATGACTTGAAAATTAAAAATTATGTGTAGGAATTTTTTAGCTATGATATAAGATAGTCATTAAAAGAAGCAGAAGCTCAAAATTTAAGTGGGAGCTAGTGAAGCAAATTACTTTATTAATATAGTGATGGACCATTGTGTTACAACTAAACATCATTTGTATGTATACTGCATTGATTTAAGGAAGAGTAGATATGAAATAAGTGAGAAAAGACCTTAAAATAGCAATTATTGATTAGTTAAAAATAATTTTTCTATAAGGAAAAAGAAGAGCATTTATCAAGGTTATTTAAAGAGTTGATGTTTCAATTCAATTTTGGTTCGAATGTACACTTGAATATTTATATCTATATTTGTCACCCAACATGCAGACTTTTCTTACTTAGTACTCTCTTGAATCTAAATATTTTATGGAGACTTTTTACTTTGTGTTGATGGACCACACATGTTGTATAAACTCAGTTTATTGTCCACAAGAACCTGAAGAACAAGCTTGTTTTGAACTCTTAAATATTACATCCCTCATTTGGACAGTTAACAAGGTCTATTAAAACTCCCACAGGGCAGGAATGGGCAATTATAGCAGTAGATGGTGGAAACCAGATTTCATCACAGAGAGCTCGGGGCAGGGTGGCCAAGAGGACTAGCAGTAAGTGGGGACAGCTAGAGAAAAGACGCAGAGGCCTTGGTTGCCAGAAGAGCCCTAGAAGGAAGTAACCGCCAGAGAGTGATCACACGCACTCTCTACAGGCTTCATTTCCTGCCTAGCAGTTCTGAGAAGGGCTTCTGCTTGGAACTTTCCAAGAATAAGATACACTATCTCCTAGAATGATCCAGTGATCCATGTGGACAACTCCTGTTTTGTTTTGTTTTTTTTCCTTTTTGGCTGTCATGCAGAATGCAGGATCTTCATTCCCCGACCAGGGATCGAACCCGGTACCCCTGCAGTGGAAGCATGGAGTCTTAACCCCTGAATCAAGGACTCAGGGAAGTTCCTGGATACTGCCTTTCATATATATATACACACACACACACACACATGCACATACATACACACACATATATATCTTTTTAATATCTCTATTTATTTATATGTTTGGCTGCACCAGGTCTTAGGTGCGGCACACAGGATCTTTAGTTGTGGCATCTGGGATCTAGTTACCCAACCAGGGATCAAACCTGGGCCCCCAGAATCGGAAGATCGAGTCTTAGTCACTGGACCACCAGGGAAGTCCTGTGGATAACTCCTTTGAGAGTTGGCTTCCTTATGCCAAAGACCTGTCTCCCTTTACTTTCCACCTAATGATCCTGTTTCTGAGTGATCTTTGAGGCTCCAAAAGATGAATCTGATCCCTAGAACAGCTTTGAAAGACAATTTTTGTACTTCCTGAGTTTCCAGTTCTCCAGGTTGAACCTTCTCAGGACTTCCAACCATTCTTCATTTAGCTGCTTTCCTTCCCCCTAGTGATCTTGGTGCTGACCCCTGGCTGTACCGCAGTTGATCGTTATCCCCCTTAGAGTGTGCTGCCTGGAACAGAGTACAAGGTATGGCAAAAAAAAAAAAAGAACAGTCTGTCATCTCCCTGAGGTTCTTTCTTGTAGTGAAACCAAGAATTGCATTAGCAGAATTGGCATCTATTGTGTTATCATTGATTTCTGTGGAGCTTATCATCAACTAAAACCTGTAAGTAGCATTATTCTCCTTTTTCAACATGCACAGTTGCCAAGCCACATCTTCCACATCCTGCAGTTGTTCACTGGACTTTTGATCTATAGATTTCAGCTTCTTTCTGAGCAGTTTTCTTAGTGATAATCTGCTGTGGGTCACTTCAGTTTTTACAGTGACATGAGGAGGCTTCTTAACAGTGTTTGAAATAAATTGAGTGTCTGTACCAAGAGTGGTTTCTTGGTTGATGGGGAGGGATTGGGGAACTTATCAGTGCCTGTTTTCTGTTCCTCTCCCTTGGTAATATGCAGGGTTCACCTGGAAGGCTTCTGTTCCTCAGACGCTTTGGGTATGTTGGAAGAGACTCAAAAGTAGCCATTGTTTGCATAAAGAATTACATTGATTCCTGGAAGAGGTACTGAGAGATAGGTTAGTATACCATACCCCCCCACACCCAAATTTTTAGCATTTGGAACTAAGACCTGAGGCAAATAAGAACTGCTTCTTATTGATTCACTGAGCAAACTAGTGATAAGAGGCAACTTTAGCACCCAGGTCTTCTGACATGCTTTCCTAGTGGTTCAGATGGTAAAGAATCTGCCTGAAATGCAGGAGACCCAGGTTTGATTCCTGGATTGGGAAGATTCCCTGGAGAAGGGAGTAGCTACCCACTCCAGTATTCTTGCCTGGGAAATCCCTTGGACAGAGGAGCCTGAACCGGCTGCAGTCCATGGGATCGCAAGAGTCAGACACAACTGAGCGACTAACACTTCCACTTTTCACACTTCTGACATGCATAGATACTAACCTTAAAAAAAATTATTTACTTATTTGGCATGCTGGATCTTAGTTGTAGCACTCAGGATCTTTAGTTGTGGCATGTGGCATCTGGTTCCCTGATCAGGGATTGAACCTGGGCTCCTTGCAACGAGAGCATGGGGTCTTAGCCACTGAACCATCAGGTATGTCCTGCATAGAAACTCACTTAATCGATTTTACCTGAGTAGCAGCTTTCAACTGTTCACATTAAGATACTTTATAGATTTCCTCCCACCCCACCCTTCTTATGAGTTTAGTTTCCCAAGAGCTTAGATGCCTCCTTGAATTCTTCCACCATGTGAGTAAATGATGCCCTCTTAGATGCTTAGCAAGGTCAGCTCTGGTGGTGAAGTGAGGCAGGATCCTCTCTGGGACTTCCAAGTCCTTGGCTGGCTTTCTGCCAGGCACTTTCTTCATGAGGTTATGTGATTGGTGGGAGAAAATGAGATCACCCTGGATCACTCAGGTGCCAGGTGGGGTGTGAAGAATCCCCAGGGGCTGGACTTCTGGGAGCACTTGACACAGAGCTGTCTAGTCGCTGGCAGCTAATGTTATGTGTCAGGTGGGACAGCACGTTGTGATGGCCCTCAGAGGTCCTGTCTCCTCCTGGGCATCTGAGGCAGCATATGAGACTCAGAATAGAGGAAAGCACTTTGTAGGCAGGTGGTCATACCAGTCTGCCAAGTGTCAGAAGGATTTTTATTTGTAATTTTTAGTGTTCATGAACCGTTTTTTTTCTTTACTCGATTGCAGATTCCTGGAGGAAGTTGAGTCTCTTTCATTATGATATTCCATCACTGCAACTGACAGTGTATTCAGTGATGTTCCCAGATTCAGGTGGAGTGTCAGGATATATGTTTACTGCTTGGCTGCTACCTGGCTGTAGCAGAGCAGGTCCCTTCAGCTTTTGCAGGGGTTGATGCTTTATCTGTAAAATGAGCAGTTTGGAGTGACCTCCAACGGCTCTTTTAGCAACAGACCCTCATATTCTGGGAGCTTACACAGCTATTGGAATGTATACTTGTAGTGTATCTTAGTGAAGTCCTTGTTGTTCTCTTTTCTGCTGCTTAATTACTAAAACAAAGTCCACCCAGGGGATACCATCCTCTCTGTCCTTCCTCTGCATGTAATAGGAAGGTTTTCTTCTTCCACTATCTTTAAAAAATTGGCAGATCTGTTAAAATAAAAAGGAAGACGGGTGGAAGGGAGATGTTGCAACAAGGGCCAGTGGCGGGTACCTCTCATGCTCCTAGTCTTCCTCCCAGTTGCTTTTAGCTCCATTTCTCAATATTCATGCTGGTTGCAAGAAAAGAGTCCTAGGATGAGGGAGTGAGTATACATCAAAGAGTATAGAACATACCAGAGGTCCTGGCAGAGAGAAAGGGAACATCTTTTGTAACTTTGGGACCTGGTAGAGAGTTTGAATAGATTCAGATGATCTGGACGGGATTTCTGGACTGCAGAAGGTTCTTAACTGTACTGAATGTATAGGAAAAATAGAATACAACTTAGGAATATTTAGGTTCCTGCCCTTAAAAAGCTTGCTTCTGGGGAAGATGGATGTAGATAAAAAGCCACTATTGTTCGGGGTCCAAGAAATTAGCTCAATGGAAGGGGTTGTTAATCCCAACCTAAGGAATAGGAAAGACTATCAAGAGGTGTCTGTCTGCATCTCCTCCCACCCCTCCCAAGCAGTGCCTCACCTTTGTTCTGTCCTGGTGTGCTGGCAAATTTAGAAACTTGTGAATGTGACACCGTCGGTTGGGAGGCAGAAGTCGAGTGAGCTCAGCCTGCCCGTGTGCACTTTGTACCTTTTTCATTTCGGTCGATATCAGGCATTCTCACATACGTAATCCATAGTGCAGCTGTCACTGACTCTGTGACAATGGCTGCTTCTGCTCTAGAGCAGACCCCAGGCTCGGACTTAAAGGCACGAGCCGCTGGAGGTCTGAATGCCACCCCTGTCCCTCCAGTTACCATGTCCACGCAGAGACTTCGGGATGAGGACTACCGCGACTACAGCTCCACCGACGCGAGCCCGGAGGAGAGCCCGTCCGAAGGCCTGAACAACTTCTCTTCCTCAGGGTCCTACATGCGGTTTGGGGAAAGCAACAGCACAACGTAAGTAGCTGTTCTGTCTGCCCGAGGGGTGGGAATCGTATTCCCACTTTCTGTGTTAGTAATGTAATCTCCCTTTGAGTTATTTTTGCCCCCCGATTTTATCAGTTCCCTACTTTACAGATGAGAGTAACACGTAAAGAGATGAAGTGAGTGATGGTGCTGAGATCTGAGCTCTTTGTCAGTTAATCTCTACTCTGTTTCTTATTCTTTGTTCATTTCACCCCCGTTGGTCGCAGAAGGCTGGTGCTAAGTAACAGCCTGAACATAAGAAAAACTTCTAGAGAGAGCATTCTCTTAATTTAGAACCTTGGGTCATCTGTGCTAGAAGCTTCAATAACTCCAAGTCCAGTACAGACAGTCCTTTGCAAAGTCTCCCCAGACTTCTGTCCCCATCACCAAACAGCCAGGGCATTTGACAGAATAAATAGAAAGAGGGAAGAATAACTTCTCCTGCACTTTGCCCTCCTCCAGGAGATCTTCCCAACCCAGGAATTGAACCCAGGTCTCTCGCATTGCAGGTGGATGCTTTATTCTCTGAGCCACCAGGGAAGCCCAAGAATATGGGAGTGGGAAGTCTGGGATCTTGCCGACCTAGGAATTGAAGTGGGGCCTCCTGCACGGCAGGCAGATTCTTTACCACTTGAGCTACCAGGGAGGTCCTGAAAGATTCAAGGCGTTGGTAAAGAAGAGGAAACTTCCCTGGTACTCCAGTGGGTAGGACTTTGCCTTCCAATGCAGGAGATGTGCTTTCGGTCCCTGGTCAGGGAACTGAGCTCCCTCGGGCCTCACTGCCAAAAACCCAAGACATAAAACAGAAGCAATATTGTAACAAATTCAATAAAGACTTAAAAAAAAAAGATCCTCATCAAAATAAATAAATAAAGTCTTTAAAAAGAAAAAGAAGAGGTGATTTGCTTTGTATGCCCTTAGGAGGGCTTACACCTTATCTCTGGAAACTGAATCCCAAGTCTCATCTGGGTTAGTTTGGCCCTCTGTGGGCCTCAGTTTTTCCAAATATAAGATTGAGGACCCCTGTGTGAAGCTACGCTGATTCACTCTTCAAATGAGAAGATTCAGAAGAGGGTTTTCTACTCCACTGAGTTGTCTGGTTCAGTTTTGAAGTCAGCAGAGCCCTAACATTTTCTCTGGACCGCAGCACCCCATCTTGTGCAGCACTTCTGTTTATTTCTCAAGCTTTGCCATCATCCTCTGTGTGTTCCCTTGGGGGTTGGGTGTGACTCACTGAGGGATCCGTTATGTCCTTGACTCACACTGTCCCCTGTGACTGTCCAAGGAGACCATGGGAGCTTCTCTTGGAGCTCATTACTGGTAAAGCCCCCTGGCTGCAGTCTTTCCTGGTGCACGGCATTTTCTCTAGTGAACTCCAAACTAGAGGAGACGGTCTGCCCACATTATAAGCCCTTCTCCACGTCTCGCTGTTTTCTGCTCATAAAGGTTCCATCTCCATAGGATGGAACCTTTCTTTCTCCTGTGGCATGCTACTGTAGATTCCCCCATATGCTTGCAGTGTTAGTTGATGGAAAAGATTGCTTAGGCCCCAACCAGCAGCAGTGAAAACTATCTTTCCTCTCTCTTCCCTAACTTTACCTATCTCCGTGACTTCCCCCATGTGGAAGGAGTGTCAAATGCAGCCATGTGATGGCTTCTCTTCAGAAGTCACTCTGGTTACTGTAAAACGCTTCTAAGCTTCTCTAGTTTTCTTTCCAGTTTTTGCTCCTTGCTCTTAGACATCAGCTTGTCTATGCAGTGCTTGCCATATGGGCTCTAGATTTTCATTTTTAGAGGGACTCCTCTGAAGTTCACAGCCCATCATCTAGCAACATCAGGATGGTAGCTCATAGGTTTTGTCATACTGAAGACAATGCATGGCTTTTAGCTATTCTAAATCTCTTTTTTTTCCCACATTGGGTTGTGACTAATAATCAACGCCAAATTATCTCCCATTGTTTGCTGGAGATTGACCGATTGGAATGTTTGATCAATGTTCTCTTGGCCTTGCTTGGGGATGTACTTTTTCTGAGGGCCCATCCTGCCCTGGTATTGTGAAACAAGGTAGGTGACCCAGGAAAGCCCCTCTGTATCACTCTGTAAGTGATAGCAGGTGTCATAAGCCCTTCACAAGTGGTGCAGGGAAAAGTACTCTTTTGGGACTTAGAGGATTGGTTGAGTACTTGCCTGGGGCCTGGATCCCCAGAAGCGTTACATGTAGAAATGTGCCAAGTATGATTAAGTGTAAGCTGATTTGGGACCTAGTTAGCTTTATAGGTGAGAAGTGTTAGGGACAAGTTTTTGAGCTGGGTTCCTGTTTCCTAGGGACTTACTCCACTGTGTTATCTAATTTGCTAAGGAACAAAGTATGTGGAAAAAATACATGAAACAAAGTACAAGAAGCAAAGTATATGCATGCACACCAGGCTCTTCTAGGGGATTAGGACTCAGTAAGAATCCCCAGTCAGGGATGCAGATAGGAGCCCCAGGTGCTTCCATGATAATGTGTTTGGTGAGGTTATTTCCTAACCCTTCAAGTTATCAAGCTGTTGACTGCTTTGTTGATGGCCTCAGATTTTACTCTTTCGGGCAAAGTTTTCCTGTTGCCCTATTGAGCTACATTATACTGCTCTCAACGGAGCTTTGATACTTTTTCCCCCAGGCTGGCAGGCTGAGAAACCAGTTGACTGAAACCAGTCTTCGGTAGGTTATCTGGAGTTGCCATTTGCAAAGTATGGTCTTCAGACCCTTTGGGTGTCCCAGGACCATTTTAAGAAGCCCACGAAGTGAAAACTGTTTTCATAATAATACTAGATGTGATTTGTCTTTTCACTGTGTTGACATTTGCACTAATGGTTCAGAAGCAACGATGGGTAAAATTGCTGGTGCCTTAGCATGCATCAAGGAGGTAACACCAAATTATGCTCATCATCATTGTATTTTTCACTTAAGCATGTCCTTGATGAAGCAGTCATATCATTAATTTTATTAAATCTTGACCCTTTAGTCCAGAATATTTTGTTAATATTCTGTGTGACAAAATGAAAAGTGCACATGAAATACTTCTACTGAACGACTAGGAAACTGTAGGTTGTTCAGATGTGAGTACTTGGCAGATATTTTCTTGAAAATGAAAGTAATGAGACTATCACCTCAGGAAAAACTATTAAGGGACTTCCCTGGTGGTCCAATGGTTAAAAAGTCACCTTTCAGTGCAGGGGATGCGAGTTCAATCCCTGGCTGGGGAACTATGATCCCACATGTCGCAGGTACAACTAAGCCAGCATGCAGCAACTAGAGAAAGCTGTCCAGCCACATTGAAGATCCAGCACAGCCAAAAAAAAACAGTACTGTTTGTTGCCAACAGTGAAATTTGAGCTTTTGAGCAAAATCAGAAAAAATAAACTCATATCCAGCACTGTGACCTTGACAGCTTCCCTTTACCTAAAGACTTGTCTAATGAGATTAGGGCTGATACTAATAAATGTGATTTTTTTTTAATGTCGTATAATGAAATGTGCCAGCATTTGAAAGATCCATATAGCTCTGGGAACCAATATCTCCCATATGGCCAAAGTATGATGTTGGGAAATTGTGTGTGGGTAAAAGATCTATCAAGGAGCAAGATTGCCAGTGTATTTTCACATAGCAGAGTATGAAAAGGTCAGATTCCACATTACAGCTAACTCCAAAGAAACTATGTGTGTTGAGCTTTGATGTAGTATCAAATAAAAAATACCACAGTTGCCTGAGCAGGCTATTAAGATACATTCTAGCTACATATCTGTGTGAGGGCAGATTTTCTTCAGGGACTTCCATCAAAGCAATGTATCACAGGAGGTTGAATGCAGAAGATAATCCAGCTATCAAACAAGACATTAAAGAGATTTGCAAAAAAAGTAAGATAGTGCGCTTCTCACATTTTATTTTTTTGGAAAATAGAGTTATTTTTTGTTAAAAATTGGTTATTTTTATTAACATGTAATAAGTTTATTGCTATTTTAAATTAATACATATTTTTAAGTTTCTTGGTTTAATTTATAATATATATATTTATATGTATATGTATACATGTATATGTATATGTATACTATATATATATATATATATATAATTAGATATAATCCATATAAGCAAAAACTATGTGGGATCCTCAATAATTTATAAGTGCATAAAAGGGTCCTAAGGTCAAAAAAGTATAAGAACTGCGATTTGCTAGGCTTATTTTTCCCTCTTACCCCCATAGTTAAGATTCTCTAGTCCATGGAATTGATACTGTGATAACTCATATGGTTTTGGGTAATCCCAGCTCGTGGCCATTGGTGAAAAGCTTAATTTTGGAAGTCTTTTTGGTACAGTGGATAGGAATCCCCCTGACTGCATGATATATGGGTTTGATTCCCTGGTCCGGGAAGATCCCACGTGCCTCGGGACATCTAAGCCCACGTACCACAGCTGCTGAAGCCCACGCACATAGAGCCCGTGCTCCGCAGTGAGAGAAGCCACCTCAATGTAAAGCCTGTGCACCACAATGAAGAGTAGCCCCACTCTCCAGAACTAGAGAAAGCCCGAGCACATCAACGGAACCCAGCACCACCAAAAATAAATACATTAATTATTTTAACAGAGAATAATTTTGGTCAATTGCTTAAGCCCTGCTGTTTCAGAGTTGAAGTATGCTGTTCTGGTCCAGTCCTCTCATATGAGATGATAGGCCCAGAGGAGGGAAGGGAATTTTCATAATGAATTAATGGCAGAATCAGGGCTGGAGGGATCTGATCTCCTATGAAACCCAGCCCAGAGGTGTTTTGGGGAGGCCTCCGGTAGGCAGGTAGTTTCGGTGAAGTGCTTACCTTTGCCCTTAAGTGGATTAAACATTTGCCAAGATAGAAATTTGACTGGTCCGTCATTCTGCCCATAATCTCCTGGTCACTGGCCCCTGATAATGGAAGAGTCACCCCTGGGCCCTTGCTGTCTCTTTGTTTAGTCCTGGAGAGCACTCGCCTCTTCTCATTCAGACTTGAAGCAGTTTTTTTGATCTTGCATGAGAAACTTGGGGACAGTAGGAAGGTCAAGAGATTTTCTTTCTAGAGGTAGAGGGAGAAAGGTTACCGAGAGTAAAATTCCTTTCCAGAGAGTGTAGACGGATCTTATTTATTATGGTTCTTACACGTTAATGGGCTTCCCCAGTGGCTCAATGGAAAAGAATTCGCCTGTAATACAGGAGACCCTGGTTTGATCCCTGGGTAGGGAAGATCCCTTGGAGAAGGAAATAGCAACCCATTCCAGTGTTCTTGCCTAGGAAATCCCATGGACAGCGGAGCCTGGCGGGCTACAGTCCCTGGGGTCACAAGGGTCAGACACGACTTAGTGACTAAACCACCACCACAAGTTAACACATGATTTGCTTTCAGTTTCTACTAAATTGCAGTTTGGAAGACATATGTGGAAGCATTGTTTAGGAGGTATTTAGGTTATATGTGGAGAGGAATTTCCAGACAGTGCCAGGGACCAAATCTTGAGGATGTCTGGGGCAAAGTGGTATCATGTTTGATCTTTTTCACATGTCTGCCTTATTTTCCTGCAGACTTAATTAGTTTCTAGAGACTAAAGTTCACGTCTGATCCATGCAATTTCCACCATTGCATTAACACAATGTTTTACACATTATAGATGGTGTTTGTTAAGTGGAAAAATAATGACACATGAGAGGCTTTCCAATTGCAGCTTGAGAGGGTCAGTCTATAACAGCCAAGGGGAAACACTGTTCTCAAGGCAGAAAGATAAACTAGGTGACTGTCTGAAGAGGGCTTCTCCAATCTTATTACTCTATGGCATTTAACTTTTTTTTTTAATACACAATACACCAGGGACTGTGGGACCATATGACTTTTACTCTGTTCACATTACATAAAACTTTCTGATAGGGATGTGGGGCTTCTGTTTTGTTATTTCCCCTGTTCTTTACTCACACCGGTGTGTCTGTCCTTCACAGTTATGCTTGGAATCCTCTGTTGCAATTCTGGATCTGAGTCTTTATAGTGGAAAGTTCCAGGGTGAAAACCAACACACCGGGAGCGACACCATACTGTCCCTCTGGTCTAATCTCTAAGCACAGTGAACTGAGAGATGCCTCGGGGAATGGACATAGCCCAGTGACCAGAAGAGTGGGCGCGGGGGCTAGACAGCCTAAGTTTGAATCCAGACTCACACTCAGATGTGCAACCTTGAAAAAGTTGCTTCATCCTATGTAAAATGAAGTTAATACCTATCTCGTAGTGTTGTTCTGGGCTTCCCTGGTGGCTCAGTGGTAAAGAATATGCCCGCCATGCTGGGAATTGAATGAGATGATTCATGAAGGTACTTAGCTCAATAGTAAGTACTCAATAAATGTTACATCTTATTATTGTTAACTGCCCTTGTCTGCCTTATTCCCACTTCAGATGGTTCCAGACCCTGATCCACCTGCTAAAAAGCAACATTGGCACAGGACTCCTGGGGCTACCTCTGGCGGTGAAAAATGCAGGCATCTTGGTAAGGGTCTGCGTCGGTGCAGGGAAGCATTGTGACAGATTTTAGGAGATGGTGTGTGTGTGTGTGTTTAATTTACTTCATGTAAAACATTTTGAAATGAGAAGCTTTTCTTTTCCAAATTCAGTTGAGAAAAAGCAGGGTTCAGGTTTATTCATCTAAAGGTATGTATTGAGGATCTGCTGTGTGCCGGGCACTCTTCTAGATTCTTAAGACTATGATTAGTGAGTGAAATACACAAAGATTCCTGCCCTCATGGAGGCTACTTGAGGTAAGGAGGAGGTCCTGGCCGTTTCCATCAGTAATATTAACTAAAGAATAACAGAATTCTCTCCATTTTTCAGTCTTTCCATGCCCTGCCCTTAGGCGGACAACTCTGAAAATCTAATTTTTTTTCTTTCTTGATTCTTCCCCTGATAGACTGCCTGTCCAAAGCCATTCTGCTTTCTTTTAAAGTTGGAGATGGGGGATTCCACTGGTTAAGACTCAGTGCTTCCACTGCAGAGGGCACTGGTTCAGACCCTGACTGGGGAGCTAAGATCCCACATGGCTTGCAGCCAGAAAAAAAAAAAAAAACTGAACCGAATAACAATGAAAATACAACATATCAACTTAAAAAAATTATATGGGAAAATTAAAAATAAATAAAGTTAGAGGTAGCTCAGAGGCTGGACTTGTCCTCAGCTAAAGACTGGCCTGTGCCATTACTCTAGACAGAACTCGCCCCCTCCCACCAGCCCTTAGCCTGTCTCTTCTTCCCCAACAGTCCCAGGAGCCTTCTGTTCTGCTGAGTAGGCAGCAGTTTCAAAACAGCCTAATCTGTGTCATTCTCCTCAGGGAGATTAATTCTCTAGAAGGCCTACCGAGGTTCAGAGGGTACCCTTCCTGCTCAGCTAATCTCTGTGAACACATTTGTTTCTCGAATGCCCTGCTGGAAGTTCTGTCATTGGAAGGTACCCTAGTTACATTTTGACCATGTGCAAATTCCAGTTCTAACTCTGCTTGCCTGTCTCTCCCTCCCTGGCCTGCAATGCCTGTCCACAGATGGGTCCCCTCAGCCTGTTGGTGATTGGCCTCGTGGCTGTGCACTGCATGCGTATCCTGGTGAAGTGTGCTCATCACTTCTGCTACAGGTGAGAGTGTTCCATGCACCTCTCGAGTGACAGACTGTCCTTCCAGGTTCCGTTACCAGCGCCGGAAGCGAGCACTCAACACACATCACTCTTGGCTCTCTGTGCTAGCTGAGGGTGGCTGCTGGTTAATGGCCTTTCTCTGGAAGTTTCTCTGCCTTTTTTTAGCTTGTTGTCATCTGTCACATGGGCTTCCCGGGTGGCTCAGTGGTAAAGAATCCACCTGCCACTGGAGTAGGCACAAAAGACGTGGGTTCAATCCCTGGGTCGGGAAGATCCCCTGAAGGAGGGCATGGCAACCCATTCCAGTGTTCTTGCCTGGAAAATACCGTGGGCAGAGGAGCCTGGCGGGCTTCAGTCCATGCGGTCCCAAAGGGTCGGATGTGACTGCGTGACTGAGCACACACAGACGCCATCTGTCACACTAACCTATAACTAGTGTACAGAGACCATATGTAGTTTTACGTGCTTTGTAATATGTACCCCATTGAAAAGATTTTACCAGATGATTGCTTAATTACAAGGAAGTGACTGTCCCATTGACTTCAGACTTATGCTCCTCAAAAGCATCAGACCGAGGACTTGGTGGTGTGCCTGGGGTGGCAGATGGGGAACCCACCCAGGTCTCCATGAGCTGTTTGTCCTGTCATGGTCATTGTCTGACCCCACACTGCGCCCTCCCCTCGCTTGCTTGCTCCCAGACTGAACAAGCCCTTTGTGGACTATGGGGATACGGTGATGTACGGCCTGGAAGCCAGCCCCGTCTCCTGGCTCCGGAACCACGCGCACTGGGGAAGGTAATGGGTTTCTTTCTTCTTTGCTGCTGTGGCTGCCCAGTGTGGGGGTCTTCAGATAGGGTGGTGAGGGGTTGAAGACCGTGTAGCTAGTGGGAAGAACATTGCTTGGGCTCAGCTCTGCCAGTGGTCATTTGTGTGACCTTGAGCTGTGTGACCACTCCTCTCCCTGGGCCTCAGTTTTCTCACTGGTAAGACAGGAGGGCACTAGCCTGAAAAGTAGCTAAGGGCTCTTCCAGCTTTGACAGCCTGTGACCAGTGATGGTATTGTATCCCCTCTTTTGGTCAACAGACATTTGAACACACTCTTGTAAGTGGTACAAAGCAATTCCAGGTGTAGGGAGGATGGTTTCCCCATATTACATGGTCCTGGCTCTCCAGGAGAAGGAGAAAGGTGTGTGGGAGATCTGTTGAGAACAAGAGGTCAGGGTGTACCAGTAGAGAGAGTATCAGGAACTAGCATTGCACTGCAGGGGCCCCGAGGGGGAGGAATCCTAAAGATGCTCTTGTCCACTGTGCCAGTGAGAAGCGTGCTTGATAGGTGCTTTCAGGGCTGGGCACTGGGCAGGAGAAGCAGGGCTTCAAGGGGGAGGTGAGGGGAATTAGAGCAAAAGGGTTTGTTAGGGAAAGAGATGTTTCAGGAGCTGACGTGGGAGGTGTTTGGAAATTTCTCCTTCTGATAATTTTTCAGACACCTGGAGAGAGGTATTATACTGTTTGTTTCCCATTTGAGGCAATGGTACATTTTGATGTAGAAAAGTGATAACATCAAGGGCTGGATCCTTTTTTTTTTTAATGTTTGTTTATTTGGCTGCATTGGGTCTTAATTGCAGCTCTCAGGATCTTCATTGCAGTGCATGGGTTTAGTTGCCCTGGGACATGTGGGATCTTAGTTCTCTGACCAGGAATCGAACCAGAGTCACCTGCATTGCACAGCAGAGTCTTAGCCACTGGACCACCAAGGAAGTTCCTCCCACCTTTTTTTAAAATTGAATCATATTAATGTTCTCCAGAAAAACTCCTTTTTGTGATCATAGGGAGACTTTTACCTTCACACATAGTAAGCGTCCTCCTGTGATGTAGGTTTCTGTAATTCTTTCAGCAAAATAATTTTCTGTGCCTGGAGAAGACAAGTTGCCAAGTGACCCCTGTTGGTTGGTTGGTTGTTGGCTGAGTCTTTCTTCTCCTCTCTCCTTTCTTTTTCTGCATCTCTGTTTTTTCTCTGTCCTCCTCTCTCTCCCAATCCCTCCCCCTCTTTTTCTTTCCTCCCTTCTTCCCTATATCCCTCCCTCCTTTCCTTCCTTCCTTTAATAAAATTAATGTGTGCTCATGGTAAAAAAAAAAAAAGCAGCAACAACTTTTTTTAACAAGATAGAAAAACATAAAGTGAAGAGTAAAAGTAAAGTCACAGTTGCATGAATATTCTCCTGGAATTTTCTGAGTATGTAAAAACATGTACCAAAAAAATGTACAGATTCCTCACATTTTTTACACTAATTATCATACTATGCATTCTGACTGGCAACTCGGTGGGATTCTTTTTTTCCTTAAAGGTCTTTAGACTTTCTGTTTCGGCACACGTAGACTTAACATATTCTTTTTACCTGCTGTGTACTGTTCCATCTAAAATGGCCCATAATTTAAGCTTTTTCCCTTTGATGACCCATTAGGTTGTCACTAGGTGGTGGTGTTGTAACTGTGCTTCAACCACAGGCTGTTTTGATACATCTCTTTCCATGTCCTATGTGAGAGTCAGTTGGTTTTTATCCAGGTTATAGAAAGAGACTGTGAAGGGGTCCACTTCTTGGGCTCTGATGCTAAGGGCTCCCTATAGCTTTAGGACAAACATGATGAAATGGGACAGGCGGGCCATAGGGAAGGGGTAGCCAAGGGACTGGGCAGTGGTCCTTAGGTGTGTGCTCCACTCCGGCCAGTCCAGTCTCAGGACTGTCTCGGGTCTACCCGACTGCATGTAGCATTCCTGGCATGCAGCCAGGAAGGTGTCTGGGGAGCCACACAGATAGCGCCTCCCTCACCTTCTTCCAGGGCTCTAGACCAGTGACACACTTTCCCCTCTTAGCAGGGCATACTCATCCTTGTAACCTGATGGGAAGGGTCTGTGATGACTTGGGAGGAAGCACTCTTCAAACCCCCATCTCTCTGGCTGTCTTACTTTCTATCATTTGATCTTTTATCTTCCTTCCTTCCCCACCCACAGGCGCATTGTGGACTTCTTCCTAATCGTCACGCAGCTGGGATTCTGCTGTATCTATTTTGTGTTTCTGGCTGACAATTTTAAACAGGTAGGTCCTTGTGAAAAGAATGGCAAGAGATGACTGGGCTTTCTGTTTAGGATCCCTCCCAAGCCAATTTTGTTCAGCACGAGAATTGAGATCTTAACACTTTACACAGAACAGGGTCAGCATCGTTTGATTTTATTTAAAGAGCTAGGACATCGAGAAACCTCAAGATGTCTTGCTGTCCTCTGGTCTGTATTTTTTATTATTCATTTGTTTATTAGTGGCTGTGATGGGTCTTTGCTGCTGCGCACAGGCTTTCTCTAGTTGCAGCGAGTGGGGACTGTTCTTTAGTTGTAGCATTCGGGCTTCTCGTTGTGATGGCTTCTCTTGTGGTTCGTGGACTGTAGGGCACAGACTCAGTAGTTGCAGCGCATGGGTCTGGGTGCCCCATGACATGTGGGATCTTCTTGGACCAGGTATCAAACCCATGTCCGCTGTGTTGGCAGGTGAATTATTAACCAGTAGACCACCAGGAAAGTCCTTTCTTGTCTTTAGGTATGATGTGATCAATCCCAGCTCTGACAGTTGGGTTGCTAATGATAATTAGGAAGATCTCTGAAGATGGTTCCATGACCACTGACCTCTTTACGACCTTGTTCACACACTGAGCCTTTAGCCTAGAACCCCTTCTGGTGGGAGGGTCACTGGTCTTTGTCATTGGAGAGGCTGTCTCTGTTTCTCCCCTTCATTCTAGGTGATAGAAACGGCCAATGGGACCACCAGCAACTGCCACAACAACGAGACGGTGATCCTGACGCCCACTATGGACTCGAGACTCTACATGCTTGTGTTCCTGCCATTCGTGGTGCTGCTGGTGTTCGTCAGGAACCTCCGAGCCCTGTCCATCTTCTCCCTGTTGGCCAATATCACCATGGCAGTCAGCCTGGTCATGATCTACCAGTTCACTGTTCAGGTGGGAGCCCAGCCTTCTCACTGTGTCTTATAGATAATCAGAGACACAAAGTGAGGAAGTGAGCAGAAATAGGGGTATTACTTACAAGTGGTGTACTTAGATTAGGGTTTCTTAGCATGGGCACTGGTGGCGCTTGGGCCTGATAACTCTTTGTTGCGGGGGCTGTCCTGTGCATCACGGGGTGCTTGGCAGCATCCTGGTCTCTGCCCACAAGTAGCAACTGCTCTCCAGGTTGTGAAAGCCAAAGTGTTTCTAGATGTCGCCCAGCATCTCCAGGGAGGGCAGAATCACCCCCACTGAGACCGCTAGTGTAGACTTTCTCCCCGTTAGATGATTATATATGATCACTGTATAAGATTGGAAAATACAGAAAATATTAATGATTCTTAAATATTAAATTATAAGGTTTATGTTTTATACTAATAATAGAAGAATCATCTTATGATATAATAAGGAATATTATATTATATTATTATTTTACCACTCCCATTTTGTGTTTATTTGTCAGAATTCTAAATCCGGTGATCATTCCCCCTCACGTGGCCCATGTGGGCAGGTCTGTGGGGTGGTGCAGGAGAGGACATCTGTATATGGATGGGTAGAAGATCAGGCTGAGCATCTTATTTTTATTTCCATGTTTCCCTTCTATTTTATTTTTTTAACTTTGTATTTTATATTGGAGTATGGTTGATTAACAATGCTGTGTTAGTTTTAGATGTACAGCAAAGTGATTCAGTTATGTATATACATGTGTGTTCTTTTTCAAATTCTTCTCCCACTTAGGTTGTTACATACTATTGAGCAGAGTTCCCTGTGCTATACAGTAGGTTCTTATTGGTTATCCACTTTAAATATAGCATTGTGTACCTGTCAGTCCTAAACTCCCTAACTATCCCTCCCCAACCACCCTTTAAAACAATAACTTTAAAAAAAGATTTTTGTTTGTTTTTTAGTCGCCAAGTAGTGTCCAACTCTTTGCGACCCGATGGACTGTAGCACTCCAGGCTTCCTTGTCCTTCATCATCTCCTGATATTGAATATAATTCCCCAAACAACTTATCAATACATACTCATTAAAATACAGAGAACACAAGTACCTATGTGAATCTCCTCCACTCTAGGACCCGCTATATGTGTTTTCTAGGTCCTTTGAATGGATTTACATCCTATATTCCTATGTAGAGAACTATATAAAACAAAAATTGGTTTTATGTTTTTTAACATAATATTAAAAATTATTATATATAGTGTTTATCTACCTTAGTTTTTTTCTTTAACAGTTTTTTTCTTTAACTTCTCCTCAGAAAGCTTTCCATGTTGATATATCTGTTTTTACCTCTTTTTTAAAAAATTATTAAATAGTATCTCAGAGAATAAATGTGCCATAGTTTTGTAGTTTATTTAACCAGTCCCCAGTCAGTGACCTGTCAATTCATGTATCGCCTTAGTGTTATTTCAGTATTATGATAGTATCCTTATGCTTATCTTTTTCTGGACATGTATAAATACTTCTCCATGTATTTATGTAATATATGCATACAGAGGAGCTGATGGTACACTTGCTGGAGAGTATACATTTTAGAATTTTTTATACTGCCAAGTTGCTTTTTCCAAAAGCCATTTACCAATTTTACAGACTCCCTTCCACAGTTTGTAAGCATCCCATGCTAGCCACACTGGACATATCAATCTTTTTAATTTGGGGCAGTCTGACAGGTGAACATTACCTCATTTTCACAGTCTGCATAACAGTGACCCAGTTACCCACCGATGAGGTTCCCAGGAAAACAGTGGGTCATAAAATGCAGCGACTTTGTATACTGAGGAAATGACATAATGAATTTAGATAAACACATAGTCAGTGAGCATTCTCTGTGTTTTCCTTCAGGTGGGTGGCAGATACAGACTCTTCTCCTGTAGAATTATTTTCTAAAGCATAAAATAGACAGCTGTCTGTGTTCTATTTTTTTAATGGACTGGAAGGAGGGCCTGTGACATGAATGATCATTTCTAGAGAGTTTCTTCCCCTATCTGTGGCCCATTAAGTTAACACAAGGAAGCATAAATAATGTATGATTTAATTTTATGATTAGAGATCTCAGTCGGTGCTTAGGACATGCTGCAGTGAAATTTTCAAAGACACAGGAAGTGAGGCCAGTTCACGTAGACACCACATTTAATTTCACACCACTGCAGATAGCTGGGCTGTGGTTGTTGTGATTGGAGGACAGGGATGGAAGTACAGGGACCATAGCATCTCAGACCCAGCTGAGAGAAGTGTCTGTCCAGAGGTCTGTCTGTGCCTAGTACAACCTGCGCTTTCAGACGAGGCAGGCCTGCTGAGGCCTGAGAGCGATTCTGAGCCTGCCTCTGGGCTCAGTGGGGAGGAGTGTTGTGACCCAGGAGTGCTCTCTACCGGGGCTGGAGAGGGGAGAATGTGGTCTGGCTGGGTGGCCAGCAGCTTCTTGCTGACGTGGCACATGACTAAAGCTGTCCCTCTGATTGTCTTTGTCGCTGCTCTTACTGCTGTCCCATCTTGGTATCTTTCCCTCTTTGTCTTGATAAATCCCCCAGTGTCCAAAGTTCTGAATTTTCTCCTAACCTTGAGCGTACACGTGACTGCTGCCCTTGCTCCTCAGGCTCACACCACTGGAGGGAGTCGCTTGACTCCTTCCACCTGAGCAGGTCTCTTCTTCACGTGCATGCCAAGTGGTACAGTTTTGAGCAGAGTCCCAGTAAACGTTTGGGCTCCCAGTACATGTCCTTAATTTATCACTGCATGTCCTTAATTCTTTCTTTCTTTATTTTTTTTATGGCTGTACCTGGAGGCCCAAGGGGATCAAACCCATTCCCTCAGCAGTGAGAGTGCGGAGTCCTAACCACTGGACTACCACGGATATCCTTAATTCTGAGACATATTTTTCCACAGTTAATAATGTTCCTAAAATTGGACTACATCTGGCAATCCTTATGTACATTTACCAGCAATTTCTCAAAAAGCCGTTATAGTTACATGATAATGTGGTGCAAATGAGGAGGTAATATGTTGAAAATGACCTGACTTTAATTTGTATGTTTTTTTGCAAATTAAGTTTTTCCATTTAGTTGGTTGGGATATAAGGCAGTAGCCATCATTAAGTATGTGAAATTATAAATTTCTTCTGCTGGTCTCATTCACACTAGTATCCCCAGACCTGTATTTTGAAATTCCTTCTGTGATGTCTCAGCCCAAAGTATGACCCTGGGCAGTTTTCAGAAACTGTAGTTATACTATGACTCAGGGAATTAAAGGACAATCTCACCATCATGTTTCATCAAAAAAAAAAAAAAAAATTTACTAGTCTCAGCTTCATTCCAGAACTGCAGTGCCTCTCATAAAGAGATCTAACTGGTTTCTTAGCAGGGGCTCAGAAAAGAAAGCATTTTAAAAATTCTTCATATTTTAAGGAGACTACTATATCAATATAATTACTTTGAAGTCTTTCAAAGAAAAACCTACTGTAGAGACTAATAGGTCTCTTTTTTGTTCTCTAATATTATTCTGTCACACTGTTAGAACAGGCTCCATATTTATCTAGATACCTGTATAGTTAAATCAGCTTTAAAACATTGTAAAAGGCAGTTTTAAAGACATTTTTACATATATATGTAAATCCATGGCTAATTCATTTCAATGTATGACAAAACCCACTGCAATGATGTAAAGTAATTAGCCTCCAACTAATAAAAATAAATGAAAAAAAAAATAAAGACATTTTTAAATCTAAAAGTCCAATTCTGAAAGAATGGCAGCTTTTGTCTCTTGAGTTCTGCTCCTTCAATACCAGCTGTCAGTGGGGAATCTTGCCATTGGTCAGCCAGCTAGGTACATTGTACCTGCGTGTTATCAGTTGCCTTGGTTTTTATTTGCCTTCTTTTTAAAATGCTGTTTTTGCTATTTTTCCCCCTTTGTACCAATACTACTGTCGTGTGCCTGTCAATAATATTTTCCAAGTGCTGATCACAGAATTTTTGAAAAAAGAGAGGAAAGTAGAGGTAAAAGGGAAAAGTACTCATCTAAAAACCTACCACCTTTTCTTCCAGCTGTATCTGTGTGGAATGTTTATGTAATTGTATCATAGTAAATATATAAATTTAAAAATATTTTTCTCACTATTATTTCATTAGCAGTTTTTCATGTACTACTTATGCTACTTTGTACTTTTTAAATAGTGCATAATAGTGCAATAGTGTGGTTTAGTTGATGTGCAGTACACTAACAGCACAGATGTTCAGGGACATTTAGGCTTGCTGTTGCTTATCGTTCAAAGGCTTTGCTCAATTTTCTTCACATTTTAATCACCTTTTCCTTGTCAGATTATATTTCTGGGGATGGGATCACCTAGTGAAAGAATGTGATTCTTTTTATATAGTCTCTAACATTTGCGTTTCCCCAAAGCAAGTAGACTTTTCTTGGCTTGAAGGAAAAATTAGAAAGGCTACACACGACCCCAAATTATCTCTCAGGTGTCATAGTGTCATACTTTTTCCCTTAAGAGAATCTTAGATTTAGGTAAAGTTTGGCCTGTCTGATGCTGGGGTTGAAATCATGAATCTCTGTATAGCCTTTGCTCTATTTTGTTTCCTCTCTTTCAGAATATCCCAGACCCCAGCCACCTCCCCTTGGTGGCTTCCTGGAAGACCTACCCTCTGTTCTTTGGCACGGCCATTTTTGCGTTTGAAGGCATCGGGATGGTAAGAGATACAGCATGATTCTCTGCTGCCCTCGGTGTCCTTAAGGTCCGTTTTAAGGAATGCTGAGGAAATGCTCCTAGAGATTATCTTTAAGGTTTATTGGCCATTTAATGAACATTTCAGAGACTCCACTCAAGTTTCCTAGCTCCAGTTTTTGTTTCCCTCCAAGCCTCTCCATTGCACTCATCTCCTGTGTGTGCAGTAAGCAGTGGTGGGTGACAATTTGGAATCCAGGGTCTAGAGCTGGACCAATTTGGGGTTAGGTTCACCTCTACCAAAGAGTACCTGTGTGACCTTGTGCAAGGTCTTGCCTTCTTGGATTCTTCATTGTATGCTTCTGAAAAGCGAGCCTAGTGTTAATAGTTTTTAGGATTAAATGAGACATGTCTAAGGTACTTCACATAATCCCTGACATATGGTGAGCATTCGATAATTTTTATTTTCATTAATAATAGTATTGATATTATCATTAAATCAATAAACATATGAGTGAATTCTCTGCCCTGAAACTTTGAGCTGTATTTTCCATGTGTAAGCCAATAGTTTTCACTCTTAGCTCAGCTCCTCCATCATTGCTGTGATTTCACCAGTTTCCCCTAAAGAGAGGAATCTGTCCCTCGGGTATACCTAATTAGATTTTTACTTGTGTTTTTCATAATAAAAGTCCAGATTTCTTTTCTGAAGAAAGCTATTAGCCTAGGGTTTAAGAAATGGGAAGACAGGCCGCCGGGCTTCGCCGCTAGCGTCGGGACGCGCCTCCGCGTTCCTCACCGCTTCCACCCCCGCGGCCGCCGCACCTCTCGCAGTCGGCACACACACCATGACGAAGACAGACAAGAAGTCCTTCAACCAGAGCCTGGCCGAGTGGAAGCTCTTCATCTACAACCGGACAACCGGAGAGTTCCTGGGGCGCACTGCCAAGAGCTGGGGTTTGATCTTGCTCTTCTACTTAGTCTTTTATGGGTTCCTGGCTGCACTCTTTTCATTCACAATGTGGGCCATGCTTCAGACTCTGAATGATGATGTTCCAAAATATCATGACCAGATTCCTAGTCCAGGACTTATGGTTTTTCCAAAACCAGTGTCTGCGTTGGATTTTTCGTTCAGCCTGTCTGATTCAGAATCCTATCAAGGGTACATTGATGACCTTAAGAAATTTCTAAAGCCATATGGCTTAGAAGAACAGAAGAATCTCACAAATTGTACCAGTGGAGCCTCTTTTGATCAGAAGGGTCCAGAATACACAGCATGTCAGTTTCCTCTTGCCTTACTTGAAGCATGCAGTGATGTGGATGATCCCACGTTTGGCTACCAAGAAGGAAAGCCTTGTATTCTTGTGAAAATGAACAGAATAATTGGATTAAAGCCTCAAGGACAACCAAGGATAGACTGTATTGCAAAGAGTGAAAGCACAGCATTTCTAGCAACTTACCCTGCCAATGGAACGATAGATTTAAAATATTTTCCATATTATGGGAAAAAACTGCATGGGAGCTACCTGCAGCCACTAGTTGCCGTCCAGCTCATCTTTGGTAGTGATGGTGACGTAAAAGAAGTAATGGTTGAGTGCAAGATTGATGGATCACCCAACCTAAAAACCCAGAATGACCGTGACAAGTTTTTAGGACGAGTTGCATTCAAGATCACCATGCATGCATAGTAGGAGTTAGGATGTCTCCACAGAGTAAATGTTGTGTTGTCTGTCTTCATTTTGTATCAGCGGGACCTGCCATTCCAGAATTATGAGACCGCCTTGGAGAAAGGTGGAGTGGTACATGACACTGGGATAACATAATGTGCTTCCAGATAATAGTGGTCCATGTCCTTCGAAGTAACTGCCTGTTGCCTCTGCTGCCTTTTGAACCATGTACAGTCACCAGATAGGGACTGTGAACACCTGATTCTGGACATGTAGGTTGGGGGTCTTGTCCAATTTTTATGTGGTTTAATTGCCAAGTGTCTAAAGCTTAATGTGCTGTGCTATGTAAATATTTTATAGATTTAACACTGGTTAACTGTCATATTTTGATGCCAGCAAAGTTTTAGGGTATAAAATGGTACCTGACCAACATCAAATGACTTTATAGCTGCAAGAAATTCAGTGCATGGAAAAGTTCTGTATGTGAGGAGGAAAAAGGAAAATAAAAGTGGATTTGAAAGGTTGGAAAAAAAAAAAAAAGAAATGGGAAGACAGTTCTCCTTTCATGGAGTGTCTTTTTGTCCCTATTTGATTGCTCTATCACCTTACACACTTTTTTACAATTAATTTTCAATGGAACTTTACAATGTTTGTTAATTTCTGCTAAACAGCAAAATGAATCAGCTGAACATATACACATACCCTCCCATTTGGACTTCCTTCTCATTCAGGTGCACTGTCTAGGTTTTCTTTAAAGTGTATAAGGTGAGCATCCTTATATGCTTTTAAGAAAACCTCAGAGGTGGACATTTTTTGTCACAATTTGAGGAATTGCCTTGGTGGTGTCAATAGAATGTGTTAGTAAGACTCTTAACACCATGGGAGAGACTTTTTGAGTGATCATGTGTATGTGACTCTTCTGAGGTTTTAAACCTTCCCTGCTGCTTGCTCTTGGGGCTTCTCATTGCCCAAGAAGAACATCTCACCTTGATTCACAAACATATGGTTTCCCTGCTGCTTAGGCAGAGGCCTGAAGGGGCCCATATTACAGCAGGATAAAGAGCTCCCAAACACTCAGATCTGAAAAGAGGAGGCTGAGTGAATGTGGAAAGATGCCCGGGGACCCTGGGTTCTTAAGGAACATTATGCTGAATTTATCAGCTCTCCCTAACAGCACAGGGCAGAAGTTGTTCTTTGCTTCATTTCTTTTTTTTTTTTTTTCATTTATTTTTATTAGTTGGAGGCTAATTACTTTACATCATTGCAGTGGTTTTTGTCATACATTGAAATGAATTAGCCATGGATTTACATGTATTCCCCATCCCGGTCCCCCCTCCCACCTCCTTCTCCACCCGATCCCTCTGGGTCTTCCCAGTGCACCAGGCCCGAGCACTTGTCTCATGCACCCAACCTGGGCTGGTGATCTGTTTCACCCTAGATAATATACGTGTTTCGATGCTGTTCTCTTGAAACATCCCACCCTCGCCTTCTCCCAGAGTCCACAAGTCTGTTCTATACATCGGAGTCTCTTTTTCTGTTTTGCATATAGGGTTATCGTTACCATCTTTCTAAATTCCATATATATGTGTTAGTATACTGTAATGGTCTTTATCTTTCTGGCTTACTTCGCTCTGTATAATGGGCTCCAGTTTCATCCATCTCATTAGAACTGATTCAAATGAATTCTTTTTAATGGCTGAGTAATATTCCATGGTGTATATGTACCACAGCTTCCTCATCCATTCGTCTGCTGATGGGCATCTAGGTTGCTTCCATGTCCTGGCTATTATAAACAGTGCTGCGATGAACATTGGAGTACACGTGTCTCTTTCAGATCTGGTTTCCTCGGTGTGTATGCCCAGAAGTGGCATTGCTGGGTCATATGGCAGTTCTATTTCCAGCTTTTTAAGAAATCTCCACACTGTTTTCCATAGTGGCTGTACTAATTTGCATTCCCACCAACAGTGTAAGAGGGTTCCCTTTTCTCCACACCCTCTCCAGCATTTATTGCTTGTAGACTTTTGGATAGCAGCCATCCTGACTGGTGTGTAATGGTACCTCATTGTGGTTTTGATTTGCATTTCTCTGATAATGAGTGATGTTGAGCATCTTTTCATGTGTTTGTTAGCATTCTGTATGTCTTCCTTGGAGAAATGTCTGTTCAGTTCTTTGGCCCATTTCTTGATTGGGTCATTTATTTTTCTGGAGTTGAGCTGGAGGAGTTGCTTGTATATTTTTGAGATTAATCCTTTGTCTGTTGCTTCGTTTGCTATTATTTTCTCCCAATCTGAGGGCTGTCTTTTCACCTTGCTTATAGTTTCCTTTGTTGTGCAAAAGCTTAAGTTTCATTAGGTCCCATTTGTTTATTTTTGCTTTTATTTCTAAAATTCTGGGATGTGGGTCATAGAGGATCCTGCTGTGATTTATGTCGGAGAGTGTTTTGCCTATGTTCTCCTCTAGGAGTTTTATAGTTTCTGGTCTTACATTTAGATCTTTAATCCATTTTGAGTTTATTTTTGTGTATGGTGTTAGAAAGTGTTCTAGTTTCATTCTTTTACAGGTGGTTGACCAGTTTTCCCAGCACCACTTGTTAAAGAGGTTGTCTTTTTTCCATTGTATATCCTTGCCTCCTTTGTCAAAGATAAGGTGACCATAGGTTCGTGGATTTATCTCTGGGCTTTCTATTCTGTTCCATTGATCTATATTTCTGTCTTTGTGCCAGTACCATACTGTCTTGATGACTGTGGCTTTGTAGTATAGTCTGAAGTCAGGCAGATTGATTCCTCCAGTTCCATTCTTCTTTCTCAGGATTACTTTGGCTATTCGAGGTTTTTTGTATTTCCATACAAATTGTGAAATTATTCGTTCTAGTTCTGTGAAAAATACCGTTGGTAGTTTGATAGGGATTGCATTGAATCTGTAGATTGCTTTGGGTAGTATAGCCATTTTGACAATATTGATTCTTCCAATCCATGAACACGGTATATTTCTCCATCTGTTTGTGTCCTCTTTGATTTCTTTCATCAGTGTTTTATAGTTTTCTATGTATAGGTCTTTTGTTTCTTTAGGTAGAATTCCTAAGTATTTTATTCTTTTTGTTGCAATGGTGAATGGTATTGTTTCCTTAATTTCTCTTTCTGTTTTCTCATTGTTAGTGTATAGGAATGCAAGAGATTTCTGTGTGTTAATTTTATATCCTGCAACTTTACTGTATTTGTTGATTAGCTCTAGTAATTTTCTGGTAGAGTCTTTAGGATTTTCTATGTAGAGGATCATGTCATCTACAAACAGCGAGAGTTTCACTTCTTCTTTTCCTATCTGGATTCCTTTTATTTCTTTTTCTGCCCTGATTGCTGTGGCC